GAATGAACAGTGGCTATTCTAGCTATATCATAGCAACCTTAATTTTATTTCAATGAACACGTTCTATCGAGAAGAAATGGGTCACGTGTCACATTGAAATGGTAAGATATACATATGTATATATGTTTTCTTGAATTTGAAATTATTATTCTATAATTCAAATTCATAGAATCATGTTTCTTCTTCTCTTTATCTAAAATCTAAAATTAATTAGAAAAAACACTTGGGAAGGATTTGGTCATTTGGTTATATGTCAAGGGTAAATAAAAATTGGGATATTCAAATGTGATTAAGTCTCACATTGATTAATAATGAACTAAGTAAAATCCGTATAAATGGAAGGATCCAGAAATTCAATGTCTCAAGATTTTTGTTGAGACTTTAATACCAAATGATAATTCTAAAATGCTTTTAATTAGGAGAGTTTGTGTTCACTGAATCTATCTCATCATGGAAACTAAAGTCTACGGTGTTGTCTAACTAAGCTCAATCCAATCAATGGCATTAGCCCAAAATACAACAAAATCACAATGAAGTAAATTAAATAATTAACCGAATTAAAATATTATTAACCCAAACATTTTAAAATACTAAAATATAAATAATTAATAAAACCTATATAATGAAAATTCTAACAACATATCCACTAATAACTTTCGTACATATGCATGGTTGTTTTCTTGTTTTTTGGAATGTGTATCACGCAACTGCACGTGATTTTGCATGCATCAGGTCTTTGCTCAGTGCTATATACATCTGCACATGGTATGCATTTGAATTAAGACACGCAAAACATGGCATGGTATCTGTGAGAAACGTTTGAATCTACTGGCTTTTGCAAACCTGCTCAAAGAAAAACAAAGGGAAGGACATGAGTGTTAGATTTTGTTTTCAAAAACACTATGTCTCTAATTCAATTAACAGCTATATTGCAATTCCCTTTTCGATTGGGAGTGTTATTCTGGAATGGAGGCATTTTCTTTGTCGGCCGGTTGTTACTTTCACTTTCACACTAGTATGGCATTCTTATGGAATACAAAGATTTTATTTTGTTGTGCCAAATATTGAAAAGCCAAAACACTTCAAACTAAATTTTTTTTGGGGTCATAATGTGAATATTGTTGCGTACGGGAGGGAGAATCCAAATAAAATAAAATTGAGGCTTTGAAGCTTGGGCTTTTTCTTATGTTAATTAATCAATTAATTGGTTTCGATATGCATGTAGATTTATATATTCAAAAAATTTATTTTTGTCGGTTGAAATCTACGCGCATGTTTTATATGAGTTCAAAATCTTATAATTTAGAGACTTAATTTGATACTTATTGTTCATCATTATGTCAGCATAGAAAGATAACTAGTAGTGCTAACACCATTGAGATTCAAGAAGATTCAACTAGGAGGGTACCTCATTTAACAAACTGAGTTTTTATATGTGGATAGGCTTTGAGCTTAAAATGTATCAAATGAATTTTGTGATCAAATCAAAGCAACATTAATTGTTTGAAACTACAGCTCAAAATGACAAGAAACTGAAGCATTATTTTTTGAAATTTGAATAGTAAGCCAAATTTAACTAATTAAAAAAAAAACCACTCGAATCGCTTTAAACTATAATTCTCATTTTGTACAGAGAACAATATACAATTGAGAATTTAAAGTCGCTAACAATGAATACTTTAGTTTATATATCCATTTGCATATACTGTTAATAATCAGACAACTAATTAATGTGAAGGCATTTATAGAAAACAATAAATATATTCAATTTTTGTCTGTCAACAAAATTATAAAGAAAAATTAGTAGTGTTCATTTCTCTCTCTTAATTAGATGACAAACAAAAAAAGAATATTGGTCTACAAAACTTTATATACTATTGCCCAAGTGGAATCAGATCACGACTCAAATTATACACACACAAAATGGGAGTGTAATAGAAGGAGAAAAGACGTTTGAACTCAACAAATCAGTAAAGCTTGATTCTAAATAACTATTTCTTTCTTTCTTTTTTATTGTCAAATATAGTTATTTTAATGAAATCTAGGACAACTATCCGAGAAAAAGAAAGAAAAAACTAGGCACATCTATGCTTTAATAGAATACAATACACGGACTCAATAACTGACTCAATGATTGGAAATTGTTGTAACAAATAACCTTTACAAAACAACAAACAAAAGAAGGCCCCCCGAGTAACCCTTTTTTTTTAATTTTTTTTTCTCTCCCCCTCTTTTTCCAAGCAAGCCCTACTCATATATATATATATATATATATATATATATATATATATATATATATATATATATATATCCATAGCGGTGGTAAAACGTGTCCTTTGGATTTTGAATTCATACCAAAGTTTGATTCGTGTGTCAAATTGTCCAACTTGAACACGATATATTTTTATTCATGGCTCAAAAATTGAAACCCAGATCTAACCTGTTGTGAGTCACATGGGTTGATCCGTAAAAATTAAAAATCTATTTTTTAAAAATAAAAATAAAAGAAAAAAAGTGAATAAAATACATAGGTTAACCCACAACCCGCATTGGGATGTGTCAAAATTACCAAAATTTTAATTTTCTCTGACAAAAAAAATTTGCGGGTCAACATGCAGTCACGCAAGTTAACCATGACATGACACGATATCAATTTATATCATTTATCTAAATTCGTACACAACCCATTTTACTTCACAAGTTAACAAAATCCGCATTTTGATGTGTCGTGTCGTGACTTATGACACGTTTTGTCACTCTTATATAGGGGAGTGTTATATTTACAAACTTTTTATTTACAAACTCTTACAAATTACACTATGTACTCCTGGAAATACAATAGGTTACATTGTGTACTTTCGGAAGTACATAGTATAATTTGCAAAAATTTATATTTATATATATATATATATATTGTACAGCACACTGACAAAATTGCAATCCATAAATAACACAAGAATTTTCTTATTTTTTAATGGTTAATTTTAAATGCTTTTTTTTTTTTGCTAGAGATGTTAGAGAATAATATACACCATTAAAAAGACATTCATCTAATAATTTAAGATTTTTGATTGAATTGATTTTTTAAAATATCCACGCTTCAAGGCTAAAAAGCTCTTACGTGAGGGGAATGTGTTAGAAATCAAAAAAACTTCACCCAACCATTTAAACTTGTTAGTTGAATTAATTCTTTACATGATATCTCGAATTTCGGTTTAAAAACTTGAGTTTTTAAGATGTGATCTTGATATAGCATTACATTTTATTTTGGCCAAGTGAATTAAGTTTCAATCCTTGATGACTCAATTCTTTTAAATAAATTAAAACTTCAAATAAAAACATATCAACATTAATTACTCAAACCATTTGCTACCATGCATGTTGCATTTGGTTAGATGTATATAACCTGCATCATTTGCATCCCCTCATTGTTTTGTGAATATGAACCTTGGAATCGAATACCAACCTTTTACAATGATTATTGTTGACTTGCCCGGGGATATGAAATATACTTGGCAAGTCATTACCATCATATCAAAAAACTTTTAATCTTCACCTTCTTTGTCAGTTCAGTTGTCACTATAACCGTTATTACTATTGCCCCTTTGCTATTATTATCACCATTTCATAATTATTACCGTCATTGTTTTACGCCGGTGTTGTGATTATTGTTGAAATAAACATAATGATAACATCTAACTATGAATGATTACTTATACATATTTAACCTCAATCTATGAAAACCTCGTAAGAAATGCAAAGGTAAATTTCTAAAAGAAAGGTTACCATTTTAACATTAAAATGCTATTGCTGTAATCTAAATTTATCATCTCTGCCGAAACGCTCGTCCGTCATATATATGACAATAAGCAACTAACACTTAAATGGCGTAAGAGATTAATGTTCTATATCAATATCCACAAGCAATGTACATATATAAAAAAATTTAAACATATTATCAACAATCATCAGAGTAGATTATTTTCCATTGTGTGAATCACTCGCTTTGGTGGATGAAAACTTATTACTTCTTATAAATTATTTAAAATTCTTATCACTAATCTATCCCTACCCACAAAAAACCTATTCTGAATGACTTTTTATTTTTGTCAAGCTATTCCTAATTTCACGTTTTAAACAATTGATTCTAAGATATCCGCGTCAAAAGAAAACAACGGAAAATTCTATTGGATTGTATTATTCTTTTGGTCAAAAAAAAGTTACTCTAAAAGAAGTTTGATCTAAAATTTTATTATTAGTAAGGGTATTATTATAAATTTTATGAGTATAAATTTTAATGTATTTTTTGGCTAACTTTTTCATTTATTTTAAATTAAATTAATAATAATCACCAAATATATGAATCAATTGGTGAAATGTTATTCCAATTTAATCAGTAATATTGAATTCGAATCTAATATATATAATTGTATTAAAAATTTGGTATAAAAAGCGGTTGGCCACCGTATAACGAATGATTTAAATAAAAATAAATTAATTAATAATAAGTTGACACTTACATATTTTGTAAATAAACTAAATTATTATTTAAATAATTATCCTTCATAGTAAAATAATTTTGTTAATAAAATTCATTTATTAAAAAATATTATTTCTCCCAATTATCATTCCCCAGCCCATCCAAAACTGAAACACATGGTAAATAAGTTGACCACTGCTTGACCTATCATGATCGAAAAACAAAAAAATTAAATAAAAAATTTTAATAAAAAAAATTACTAACATCAAATTAAAATATAATTGAATTTAACTAATTAAATTTAAAATCTCATTGTAATTAAAAACATGTTTTGTTATTGAATACCTTAGTCTACAAGCAGGACATTTTATACGGCTTTTTATTCAAAATACATCATCATATTTGCTTCCTTAATACGTATGATGAAGTCACCCACTCTGACCCAACATGATTTCCCTTTGGTCTCTATATATAGACACACACACACCCTTAGTTTTTATAAAACATCTATTAGATATTTAACCCTTTTAAGCTCTGTTTTCCTCTGTCTCTCACAAAACACAATGGAATACAAAGTGAAAACCACAACATCACCTTCTCCACCAATCCCAATCTATGTTCCCACCATGCTTTCAAACTCTCCTCCATCTTCATCTTCTTCACCTCCTCTTTCACTTTCTCCCGCACCTTTCCCTTCACCCTCTCAGTCCTCTCCCTCTACTGCTGCTGCTCCTCCTCCACCACCACCAGTGGTGGTTAGCCCTTGTGCTGCCTGCAAGATCCTCCGCCGCAGGTGTGTGGAGAAGTGTGTCCTTGCTCCCTATTTTCCTCCCACTGATCCAATCAAGTTCACGATTGCTCATAGAGTCTTTGGAGCTAGTAACATCATCAAGTTCTTGCAGGTAACATACATTCACCATTTATTGTTGTTAATATTATTGTCATTATTATTTGTGTGTGTCTGTGTGACCAGTTCACACTTCATGGCAAGACATTTTCTTGAAAGACAAAAAAAAAAAAAAAAAAAAAAAGTTGAATTTTCTATGGTAATATCAGAGAAACAAAATCATCATGAGTTTTGGTCAAAAGTTGAAGGAAAAGCTAACAAGGGACATACCTAATTGATGGGCATGATGGGTTGTTTTCTAACTTCCTAACACATCAATGTTGTGCATAATTCTCTCTTCCTTCAACTCTAGAAACCACTATTTTTTCTAAAAAAAGAAAAAAAAAGAAAAAGAAAAGAATGGCCAAGTCAAATAACATGTTGCACACTGCTTGTTTATCTTTTCTTTTCCTTCTTTGGGTGCTCCCCATAGTATAAGTACCATAAGTCAAAATTAGGTGCCCACATTTGGAACCTGTCCACTATGTATGTCTATTAGTTATTTTCCTAATAACTCCAATTCTAATTACCAAGAGTTTCAATTGCATTAATTTTCAGGAACTACCAGAATCTCAGAGAGCAGATGCTGTGGGAAGCATGGTTTATGAAGCAAATGCTAGGATCAGAGACCCAGTGTATGGTTGTGCAGGTGCAATATTTCAACTTCAAAAGCAAGTTAATGAGCTACAAGCACAGCTAGCCAAAGCACAAGCTGAGGTAGTCAACATGCAGTGCCAACAAGCTAATTTAGTGGCTCTAATTTGCATGGAAATGAGTCAATCACAGGACCAGCACATGCTTCAACTTCAACCTCAACCTCATGTTGATATGAGCTGCTGCTTAGAGGACAACACTATTGGCTCTGCTTGGGAGCCTCTTTGGACATGAAAATTGAATGAATGAAGTATCTTAGATATTATCTATTAGAGAAACATTAATTTGTGCTATAGTAACTGTTAAACTTTCAACCTCCAAGTGGGGGGAAGAGATAATGAAAATCATACTGAGGAAATTTGAATAAAGTCATTAATTAGTTATTTGGTAGATATGGGTCATGCTGCTTTCTACTTCATTGGTCATTTCATGAGCCGAACCTTTGACAATGGAAGAATAAAAAATGAGAAAAAGAAGAAAAACATAATTGACAGTGATCTTCTCCAATATAATGAGTAAAAGAGAGAGCTGTTTTAGTTTTGAGTCAGCATAGCCTTGAAACAGATCTGGAACTGTTTGGACCACCTAATTTTTCTTTATGTTTGCACCGAGGTTGTTATTAAACTCGGCTCGGTTATTTAATCAGTCAAAATATTGTATTATTGAGTCACTAATTCAACCACTGGATTATTGATTGAACTACATGACACAGTAAGAATATATTAATTTATAATTTATATTAAAAAAATTATAGACATACTCAATTACTTATAAAAAATGATATCAGTTCTAAATATTTAAATTTAAAAAATAATAAATCACACAACATTGTCTAACAAACAAAGAAACAGATAATACTTTGACCTGTCTTCAAATATTTAACATCTACCATAAGTGAAATCCAAGTAAAATCTTGATGACTTATTAATTTATTTTGTTAGCTATGATTTTATCTTATTTTATAAGCTTCTTAGATTTTTTTTTTTTTAAAATGCCAGAAATGACCTTCTTAAATTTATAAGCATTTTATTGATTTATTTATTTTATTAAATATGCATGAACTGGCTCGGTCACTAGTTGAATTAGTCATGTTACTGATTTTCACCAAAATTGATCGAATTTTATCGCTTCGCGTCGATTTCAATGTTTGCCTGATTCGTTGCTTCACCCTAGCAGGTTATACAACTGGTTTACCAGTTTCGAATCGATCCGATTGCCCAATCCGAGTTTTTGAACACTGCAATATACATTCCTTATCTGTCGCAGCCCCAAAAATAAATGTTAATTCTTTTTTTCCCCCATGATTATTCAAGTTTATTTTATTCTCTCACCCAAAGATCTTTAAAGAAGTAGAACCCATTCAATGCGTTGTGTTCTAGATAGGAACAAAGACTAGAGATATTGGAAATAAAATGGTGTGCTGTGTTCAGGAAGATCTTTCTCTTCAAACAGCGTTGAACGGTTCATTTATGATGGAAATCTGTAGCAAAATCATCTAGATACACGGCAAACTCTTATTTTCTTTCCACTAGTTAAGTATTAGGGATCATTTTTTCTGCGCTTAATATAGCTAAATTATTTATATTGAGCTAAAAATGATGTTATTTTGGAGCAAAAATTAAAGTATTTTTATAATTATAATTTAGTTCAAACTTATAATAGTCTTTCTCATTATAATTTTTTAATCTTTTAACTCAAAATGATGTCATTTTAGGAGTGAATAAAGATAAGTTATCTACAGTAGAAACATTAAAACCTAATTATTAATTCTTATAATTTCTATTTCTCAATAATAAATTATTTATATTTTATATCAATAATTAGTCCTTATAATTTGATTTGTCAAAATATTAATCTTTGAAGAATTAATATGTTAATAGTATGAAATTATAAGAATTTATACTAAAAAATTATAAAGTCTAAGACCAAATGAGTAAAAATTATAAATAAAAAAGGATATACTTACAACTTAAATGTTTTATATTTTATTTCTGTTAAATCTTAATCGTTGATTTTCGTCAATCTAATAGTTATAATTTATTGGAATTAATAATTAATTAATAAATATGATCCAATAAATTATAATCATTAGATTGACAAAAATTAACAATTAAAATTTGATGATAAGAGATTGTTAAACTATTGACCTTAAACAAAAAAATTAACTTTTTATCCGCATTTTATTAATTTTTTGACGTATACAGCAGCGAAAGTACATCAATTATAAAATGGGCCCATACATAAAGTGTGAATTCTTAAGTTTTTTATTCCATTGTCATGTTTCGAATAGTTTAAAATCAACCCTCAATTATTTGTTCATTTGCTAATTTGTACGTGACAAATAATGTACCATCGATCTACACAATTTTTTGGGTACTCGATCGAGACTGATATATAGCTTTTTTTTAGCCAAAAAATTACTTTTAAATTAAAATTTAAAAAGTAAAATTAAAAATTATTTGATAATTATATAAAGCTATTTTTAGGGTTTTAAAACAGATAAGATGAATTAATTTGTTATTATGATAAATTATTAAGATAAAAAGAAAAATTTATAAATACAAATTTAGAATAAGAGTGAAACTAAAAAATAATTATGAAAAATCTAAAAAAACTAGCACATATCTTAAAAAAAAGCTCCTCTTGAGAATTTTTTCTTTTTTTATTCATTATGACAAAAACAACTTTTACAATAAGTACTTTTGCAAAAATATGTTTAGCTAAATAACACCTCTCAAACAAGCAAATAGACTTGTGGGAAAAAAGAAGAAGAAAAAAACTTATTAAAGAGATATAAAATTATTGAAGACTCATCACTTATAAGTTTAAGCTTTTAGGTTTTTAAGTGATTCTTTATATAATTTTGTATTATATTTCTTTAACACACCCCATCACACAAGAGTTATTTAATCTAGAAGCATGGATATTGCACACACTTATTTTGATTCTATCTTGTGTTCACTTAATTTCAATAAAAAGTGAGAGGTAATGATAATTGAATTTGTGATTTCATGATCACTGAGACTCTAATATTATAATAAATAATAATTTTACCTAACAGCTCAAAGTGATGAGTAAAGATCCATTAATAATTTTTATATTTATATGACATAAGAGAAAGCAAAAATACAAAAGTGAGGCAACTTACCGTACAATGGTGAAATTCTATCGAGAATTATCTTTTAGGACGCGTTTGGTACATGTTATATTTTTGAATTCACGAGAAAGTATGATAAGGGAATATATTTTTTAACGTTTGATAGCTCAAATCGCAAGACTTCTCGATCCAAATTTGTTTCTGGTAAAATGCTTTTATGTTAAAATTTTAGTATGAACTGACAAATGAGATATCCAAAAAATATGTGAAATTGTTGACTCCCAAGGAAGCCAAAATTAAAGTGCAAAAATCTGGACAAAATTGTCCTTCAATTCGTAAGATATTTAAAAAAGTGGGTCAGAGCAAAAGGTAAAGGTACCATACATCTTCCATCTAGTTGAATCAAAAGGTAAAGGTGGGATTATTTTGGTAAAATAACCTCACATTTATACTAATATTTCATAACCAACTAAACACAAATTCAGTAAAATTAACTTAATTATTTCGAGAAAATATAGGTCTACCAAATAACTTTTTAGTAACATTCCAATAAAATATATTTCCTAATACATTTCGGTAATAATTATTTCTCGATAAAATTTTTTTTCCCTATATCAAACACCCTGACTTCACAATTGTGAAACGTGCCATGAGTGTGAGTTAAACTATCACAATGGACTCCACCTAGAGAATGGATCTTTGATGTGAAATGAGGGTGGTTATTTTTCCTTCACTGTTTATCCTAAAACGTGAAATCATCTTGCTGTGGTTTGTGGCAAGTTGACTTTAAGTTGGTTCCTTATAATATTAGGGAAAATCACAATGAGAGAAATTTGAAAATTTAACCCAAAAATTAGTTAACATAGGTGGAAAGTTTGATCATGTATGCCAATCCCATTAATTCCTATTTGTTAATTTCATTTAAATATATATCAAAATCTTAACAGATTTAACTAATTTAATTTTGGGTTTTAGTTTCTCTATTCTTTCTAAAAATTATGACTCTCAAAAATTGAATCCACTGTCTTGAATATGTCAAATCCTGATATCTAGCTGAATCTAAACCAACAATTCTTGGATTTAAAATATAAATTCAATACTTAAATATGCCTGATTTTCTTTAAATTTAATTTGTATAATTATCATCATAATATTTTTATATGATTTATACGTGTTTGGTGAGCGTATAAAAACTTAATTTTAGATGATTTTAATTTTATAAAATTGATTAGTTAAAAGTTAAAAGTGAGTTTAAAGACATGATTTATATTTAAAAACTTTACTCTTAAAAGTAAGTTTATAGTGTATAAAAATTTTCAACCAAATAAAAAAAAAATTCAACCAAATACAATTTTTTTGTTCATTTTCAGCCAAAAATTCGTTTAGAAGGAAATTTGATTTTAGTTAAAATAATCAAAAATGTTTACCAAAAAAATATATATTCTTTTTTACTAAAACATGTTTTTATTTTGTAAAATGGAATTTAAGGTATGTATACGTAAATCCAAACACTTAGATAATGTTTATTCAGGTTGATAATATTTACTGGTTATTTAATAATGTAACTATACAAGTTTTATAATGAGCCGGTAGATCCCAAAGCAACAAATTTACCTTAGGCAATGATTCAAATACATGAGCGAGAACAGTTCTTTTTGATTTGGAGGACTAAAAATATAATTAGGTAGATGAAACATTTCAATCATTTGGTTATGTAAAACGCGCTTTGTTTTTTTTATCTTTCAATTTTCATCCTTTAACCTTTTTTGTTTTTTCTCGTTGCCCAAAAAAACGCGTTGCAAACTCTTTCTGTGTCGTTTTACATCATCTCCTTCTGTCATCTCACGTGCAACCCTCATTGACCCACATGACATAGGAAGAAAAAAAAAAAAAGGGAAAAAAAAAAAAAGGAAACACAAATTAACAGCTTTTAAGTTTTAATGCTTTACCTCATTGTTTAGATTTTACGCTAAAAAGGAATATATTGTTTTGACAACCATGTGCCCATTGGTACTACCGTCTCACCACGTAAAGTGATAATGAAATTGAAAGCGAATAGTCAAAGCCCAAAAATTATAGATGTTTCGCCATTATGACTTGCTTTCCATTCACTAGCTAGGTACGTTCATGTATCATAATCATGGGCTTCAATTATTGGTATTATACATTATAAATGGAAAAAAAATAGATAAAATTAATAAATAGAAAAGAAATTG